AGCCGCTGCTGCCGGGAGAGGGACACCTGTTTGGCGTGCCGCGCCCACTGGCGTCGCGGGAAATCAGATATCGGGCACTACCTTGCATTCCCTGTTGCACCTCCCGATCAATAAGGACTTCAAGCCCCTCTCAGCCCCGGCCTCTTCAGAGCCGGGGTGAAAGACAGCATTATTAGATTCGTGACTAGCCGTGTTGGGCGACCCATCCAAAGTTGAGAGATGCCGATTAACAATAGATGACTGAAGGTCGTTTCGGACGGAAGAAAATGGCGAACTGGGATCTTGCATCCATCTCAACAAGACCTGCTTCAATGCAGCTTCCCATTTAACGATATCATGCTTCGTCACAATATCATGAAGTGCATTCCGGGGGTCTAAGGATTCGTTTACTGGAAGTGATTTACTTTGATGCTTCGACATACACTGCCACAAGATGAAGCAGTCTCTCGGTTCGAAACTGATGTCGTCGATTGTTCCCCGGTTACTGATAAGATGAAGTTAGGCAGGGTACTGCGAAAGAAAAACGTTTTACTTGTCCATACCGATTGATAAGACTAGCCACCGGATGAATATTCGTGAACGGCGACAGCTTCTGCTGTCCCTCATCCAATCCAGGAATCGGCAACCCTTCAGCAGGTCCAAGGCCACTAAAAACCCAGCTCATGTTGGGGTGATATATGAACTTGCGAAGGTCTGAGTAGCGATAGGGGTGAAGAATCATTTCCAGATCGTGGCCCTTCGCTTCCTCAGATCCTCTCAACCAGTCGTTGAACTCCATCGGGTTGCCCACGGTGGCAGATAAGGCGATGATGGGACACGGCGCAAGTAGGAGTAGCTGTTCCCATATTACACCGTCATCTGACTGCCCAATGCAATGGACCTCGTCAAAGATGATCCTCTTCACCCTCAAAGCCCAGGAACTAGCTGTCTTTGAATTTGATGGCGCCAACAGCATAATCTGCAAAATATGTGGAACCGTGATGAGAACCTGGCAGCCTGTCGGATTGTTGATTCTGTAATCCCTTGTGTGCACAGCCCATACTGATTTACCTTGAGTAGAATACGCCTTGGAGAACCGAGCTTGCACCTCTGCAGCGATTTGATTAACAAGAGCCTTGGTGGGGGCCACATAAACGAGAACATCGTCATCGTTCGATTGCAGCACCTTCTTCATTGCGTAGAACGAAATAAAGGTTTTGCCAGCTGATGTGGGCGCAACAACGAACAAACTCTTGTTGGCATCAATGGCATCCAGAACTGTCCTCTGCCAGGCATCCGGGCTGAAAGGTACACGAGCATCTGGGCTGGAGTCAAAGCCTCTTTCCAAATATGGTCCGCAATAACTCAGCTGAAACTCAAGGGGGTCAACTGGAATCTCCAGTTGACCTCCCAGTGTCGGCAATATGCTGACAAAGGGGAGTTTCCGTCCCTTTATAGACGTATCCGGCGGCTTCTCGGTGGTCAGTTTGACAACTTTTGCGAGGAGCTTGAACAGTGCAACTCCTTCCTGCGAAAGCGGTAATTTTCCGAGCTCCCTCAGCTTTGACCAACATATGGCCAACAAGCCCATTTCTGCGCGCCTGGTTAGGTGTCTTTTCTCATGTCAAGCTCCACATTGCTTCATTGAACTCCAACATACCAGGCATTCTTTTCCCTCTCTTCTTTGCGTCTTGCAGCATGTAGACAATGCAATTGCATAGGTACAATGTGGTCTCGCCGCCAATAATCTCCATGTCTTGATTCGACAACCCGTTGAGATACTTGATGACTCTGAGACATCGGGTGTCCAAGTTCAGTTCGGCTTCGAATTCTTGGCACCTTTGGTTCCAGCTCGCCGTCATCGCAATAGATTTGCCTTTAATCTTCTCGGCCTGGATTTTTTGGGCCGCCTCTAGAGCATTTTGACGACCACTGCCTTGCCCAATTTTCTTGCGTTGATGGCAAGCTCGCTGCGATGCACCGTCTACCGCCCCATAACCCTTGCTTTTGCTTTCACTGGAAGCACGTTCCGTCACAGATAATGACACAATAGTTTCGGGATGAATAGCTTTACCGGAAGAATTTGTTAGGCTAGCAGAGTACGCAATGGTGCTGGCCATCAGTTTTTGGTTTCGCTTATGTGCAAAAAAACCTTTGCGTTGTATTTTGTGCCTGGGGTCGATAGGAAATCGTGCATTATGCCAGTGCGAAATTTCTTTGAAGATTTTTGGTGCGAGTTGCGGACCCTCAGAAGCTGTGGTAGAAATTTTGACAGATGCAAGGTAATCGTCCAAAGCTGGATGGCTGAATTCCAGAATTGGAGAGACACCTTGGATGTATGGGAGCCGTTACCAAACTTGGAGAAGCGAGGGGCCATTACCATAACCGACATCGCAACAAACGAACGTCGTGAGAAATACTTGGATTCCGAGGGGCCGCAGATTGAAATACCGGCAAATGTTATTGTAACTATTTACGAATTGAAAGCAGGAAGAGTTTGAGCTAGTTAAACATTCGGGCTGAATAGCCGGGCTGTGACCTACGTTGCTTTTGCATCAGTACTTCTTACCACCAATTGATAGACCTGTTCAAGAGAAACTTCTCCCCACTCTTCCTCTCCTTTGAACACTTTAGTTTTGCCCAAATCCACGTAACCGTCCAGCTGCATCACATATTCATGGTACCCATCCATATTGTGGCAATGGAAATTCCCCGCTGTTCTTCCAAGGCCCCATAATCTGCCATTTTCCAGAACTTGCATGGTCTCAGGCGACCAAACATTCCAAAGTTGGGATTTGTCGGCATAGCAGAAAGTATACATATTGAAGCATTGTCGTTTTGGAGCAACTAGGTCATTTCCATCTGGTTTGTGCGGCCTTTTATTCCCATTTTCAATGGAAGTTTGCGTGGAAACTCCACCATCCCTTTCACAAACAACTTGGCTCGCAGCCAGCTCTGCGAGTTGCGCCGCAGCCTCATAAATTTCTTGAAACAAACCGCCCCGCTGATTACATAGCCTTTACAATTTTGAATGGATTTCCGGGTTTTCTTTTATTGTCAGGGACTTCCGCTTCATGTACTGATCGAAGTGGTCAGCCTGGAACGATTTCCAGGAAACATGCTTAACGAACGCAAAACAGAGAAAGCCAAGCCTATCAAAGCTGAGTTTTCTTACTCGTTCACGAAATTCTTGAACTTCTCGTCTGAACCATGGACCAGGAGCACGAGACTGGTGCAATGTCTCAGTTCGTTGTCGCTGATTCGGTTGCCTTGTAGCTTAGCAGAAGCCTTGTCAAGATATTGACAAATCGTCAGGTTGTCTTTCAGTATGTCTCTTTGTAAGGTGAGTTCGGCCACTTGTCGATTCAAGTGCACAATCTCTCGAGTTATGGTTTCTACCTCCATTGTGACTAACATGCGTCAACCTTACTTGCGACTTGATGGGCGGCTTGACGGGCGGCTTGACGGGCGGCTTGATGGGCGGCTTGATGGGCGACTTGACGGGCGGCTTGAATTTGATGGCCGCTTGATGAGAGGGGCCGAGGGTTCTCGCAGATTATGTGGCTTGCGGCACGTCACTACGAGCATTATGTTTACTGGAGGGCTGTGAGATCGCGGCTGAGTTGAGGGACAAGGAGCGGGAGGGATAGCCACCTAGCCCCGGTAGTGGACTCGAAAATGGATTGGTAACCCGATTTAGCTAGCTAGTGCTAGTTGGATGGAGTTGTAGGGGATTGTTTCCTGGCACTTTGTTTTTGTCGGTACTGATGCATATTGCGCGGCGCCTCCCCCCCCTTTTAACGGCCGCAGGATTAACGACCTGGACTACATTCTGAACTTCGTACAATGATCACAAACAACCCCAAAGGTCACAATCTTCCAATGGACTATGCACGACCAAGCCCAAGAGAAAGAGATTGCGAGTGGGCATATGCCTACCGTGTAACACACTCGGGGTAGGTTTGCCTGACCCCTCGGAGACCATGTCCAAAACATCCTAGCTGCGGCTTACCGGCTATTCGGGATAACTGCCGGAACCGCCATTGTAAAGATACTGGCAGTCCGAAGATCCCAACAAGTACATGATGGAGCAATAGCCAACCAGCCCAGCGTGCCCATTCAAGAATAGGTATGCAACATTGACCACCCTCACTTGAGTGAACGACACTAGAGCTTTATCAATCTCGTCACATACACAGGAAGGGGCGCTGAAGAACGCATTCTCTATGGAGGGTTCAAGTCCAAGTCCCGTTTTCGGAATGCAAAATCACTGCAGGACTGCGATAACCACGACTGCCGGGAAGGATTACTACCTGATAACAAACTATAATCGGGGGGGACAAGGGGCTTATTTAAATTCTGACATGAATAGTCTTGAAAGTAGCTATGGGGTGTTCTGGTGCTAAGGCTCCATCCCAGGGCGCGATGTACCTCGGCAACTGCTATGTTCTTCCAGCCTAAATTACACGCAGGGTATTGGTGTCAAGACGGTGGCCTCATATGGAACAATCCCGCTCAACTGGCGGTCGGAGAGTCACAAGACATATGGGGTGAGCAAGAACTGTGTGACCTGGTTCTATATATTCAAAACAGAGTCAGGCACGACCTGCGGCAAAGTTCATCCTTGAAAATGACGATTTAGAGCGCTTAATCGCATTGACCAGTACGATGGGCGGAGAAGATGAGTGGAAGAAATATATCGTATCTCGACATCGAGCAACGGCGAGATCGTCACAACTGAACATCCCTTTCACTCGAATCCAAGAGCCGGCTCTCGACGCCTTTGAAGACATTGAGATGATAGAGTCAGCGGCAAGGAACTACGAGAAGTGGCGCGAAGAGCCGGATACGTCCGCATTTGCTCCAATATCAGGAACATCTTCAACGAATTTGCCAGAGGTTATCGCAGAAAGATTACGGGCCAGCATGTATTATCTCCAGCCCCGCTCCTTCGCGAGATTAGGTGAGAAGTATATTTTCAGGGCCTCTATCTCTTTAGCTGCCCACTGGCTTTTGGAGACTTGCTTACCTAAGAAGATTGTATGGCAAGGGAGTCTCCGCAAGCCAGTGGGCAGCTAAAGAGATACGATGCAGACTGGGTCCGGGCGACCAGGGGTACGCGGCGTTGCCCCAAATGACATCAGGATTTGAGGTCAATTATCACATATATAACACTGTCATGTTGTCAAGATCTGCACCCATGAATCTTGACGTCAAGATCGAGCACGACTCTCACAGCAGCCCCATTCGAATCGATGCTGACTTTGGAAAGCCTTACAAGATCACCATCAGTGGTTTCCCATTAAAACTGAAGGTACGTTGGCAACGCAACTGTGGAGTGCGGCTAAGGTTCCTGATTCGTGAAGACTCTAGTGGAATACTCGCAGGAAAATGTATCTGGACCTAATAGGCTGCCAGCCAATCTTCTTGGCCTTAACTCGGATGCGGACGCTTTTTTGGCAGCAAGGGACCTTGAGCCAGCCGAATATAGCGATTCAGACGATATGCTAACACCAACGGACACATGTCCAGATACTTCTGATTATGGAGTAGGTTCATACGTACAGGTCGCATCCTCATCTGATGGGCGGAGCATTTGAGGGTACGAGTTGGAGAAAGAAAGATATCGCGCCTGACTACCGCGCCTATGGCACCTGCAACAGAGTTGGATTGCTAACACTGGATGAACCCTAGATGGATTATCATGGATAAAAGCAACAGGGCAAGGAGTTGAACTATGGATAGAAGCAACAGGGCAAGGAGTTGAACAAATTGTGAGGGTTCTTTTTCGATGTGGTTGTGGAAAGGCTCCCTTCCGCGTCAATTTATCATTGACGCGACCCCCGGATATTCGGTGTCGATCGCTCCAAGCAGCTCGTGTATACAGTAGCCCGAATAAAAAGTTACATCAGATTCATTCATCTTCGTCAGACGTCCAAGTTGGACTGTCACTTCCCACTGACACTTCGCCCTGGAGCCCAAACTGGATGACCACGTCTTCCATGGCCATTTTAAGATCGTTGCCGATTTCCGGTATCCAGTTATATGTGTCGTCCCTAGGGCCAAACCGTGATGGAGCCGCCATGATTGGGATGCTCCTACCAGATTGGATGTTTTCAGCGTCGAAGGATGGCAGGTGTTCTCGGTCCATTTCTTGAGGCAGCACAGATGGTCCAGTCACGATTCTCATCTGATGATCAAGCCTGAACCTGCGCAGGCAAAGGTAACGAATTTGCCGCGACACATCTAAACAGCTGATCCACGTCTCGTGATCTACAAAGTCAAGAATCTGCTCGTACAGCTCGGTAGGAAGTCTTCCAGAAGATTTGGTCGCTGCGCGGCGATTCCCTGCGACCTCGAAGAAATTGACGAGAGCAGCAAAACCCAGGAATTCCTCACCAAGGGTTCGCACGATCCACCTGCAATGCGACATCATGATCAACTCTCCTCTTCGACGTCGCCTTTTCATCCCTGTCTCTGCTTCTGGTCGCTCTCGCGGATGGAAGCTGGTGCAATAGTCCATTCGCAGAGGTGAAAGCTTGATTGGTTTGCTCACTTTAACAAATGGTTTGTTCTCGTCACCCAACAGCACCTCCGCCAAAATGACTTCGAATATCGATAAGATGACAATCTGAAAGTGATTTCGCCCCTGGCTAACACCATAAGAAACGGCCCTGGTGACGGATGTGCCGTCGGGCACTCGGGTCAGGCTGACAAGCACGTCGTCAAGCCAATAGATAGTTTCAACGGGTGATACCCCCGGAGGCTCGCCAGGTCTATGGAACATGGCTGGTTTCAACGGGTGATACCCCTGGAGGTTCGCCAGGTCTATGGAACATGGCTCCGAACGGAATGGTCAGCCTTTCATCCGCCGTCTGAGCCCACTCTCGATCGATACACCTATCAAGCTGGATCCGTCTTCGCACGTAGGGCTGAAATCTGGCCTTACCGGATGCAATAGAGACGAAAGCAAAGCAAAGCTCTCGAAAAGGGAAAGACTCCGCGGTCCACTCCATTGCAAATTGAGTTATCTGCGATTGATAGTTCTTGAGTACCCGCGACAAAACGTAGGTAAGAAACATTTTTGGAGCCGCCTCAATGTTCGCTTTCGGAACTACAAGGCGGTAGTTGTACTTGATTTCGTTGCTCAGTGTAGAGGGTGCTAAGGCTGGCGATGCCATGTGCTCCTCTGGGCATGTCTCTGAGGAAATCGTCAATTTGCCCTTGTGGATGCTCTTTTTGATGGCGTGGAGCCACAGATTGCCCTGCCGTGGGATGTTGCTTAATTTCCAGTGAATACTCCCATTCATGGTGAGAATTTCTTGATCCAAATTTGTGATGTAGGTGTACTGGGCACCGACGTCGGGCATCGACGGAAGCTCGGAAGGAAACTCGACAAAATCACGGAAGCCATGGTAGCTATCAGGGATGGAATCGACGTCGTCTCGCAGTTCATAGACTTCGTTCTCGAGATCCCTTTCAAGAGCTGCATATTCTGCTCGAGTGCGCACGAGCCATGCTATGCTGTAGTAAGTCAATTGCAGATTGAGAGTCAACTGTCTTCTTACGTACCGCGGTACTCTTCTGGGTCGGTTGGGATTTCCGCGACAATCCAGGAGCCAAGTGCCTCGAAGTAGCTGTCCGAATGATTGTACCGAGCATAGTACCGCCTGTTAAAGCG